CTGGCGCTGTAATCGTTGGTCGGTCAAACTTAAGTCTACGTTGTGATACAATGTTCCTAATCCCCCTTTGACGTTAACTTACCATAAATACAGATCCTGGAATTGCAAACGTCTGTTTGTACAAATATGCGCTACAGAACAGCAGGAAAACGTAGCCAAAGTTCTCTCTTCTGTATTGTTTCAACAGACTGGCTAAAGACTTCAAATCATCCAAGTCACTTGGAAAATGTAATTCATAACTACAAAAGCATAAATAGGGGAAAAAATATTATTTTCTCTACAGCCAAAATAACATTGCCTTAGTTTGTCACTCGTAGTGAGAGAGAAGTTGTTTAAAATGTGATCGTCAGAATTCTCGACGAGAAAGCTTACCTTTCGCTTTGGTTGGTACCTGCGGAGAAATTTGCATTGAAAGGTGGTCTACACATCGACAACAGTGTCAGGAATAGAGTTGCCGAGAAAAAAGTTGAGCCGATCCCTAGAATACAGAAGACAGTTCTCTCTGTTTTGGACATTGTTTTCATCTCTCGTTTTTACGGCAAATAAGCTACAAATTGTCCAGTATTTCACTAAAACTCGGAAACGGCCGCCATATTGCTTTGTTGCCTCGCCAGATTGCAAGGTCCATGCCTCTACGTGTTATCGCGTGATTTTCAGTGTCCAATGACGGAGTTGATAGTTTTAAAAAGCACTGATGTCACGCAATGTTGGATTAGTATTTTATTTGCATCATACGTTTCATCATAAGTTCTAGTGTAGCTTTACAGATGGCGTTTCCTCTGCAGCACGACACATTTCACGGAACTAGGCATGCTAAAGATCCAGACCACGGATTTTTCATGCTAAACGGATTGACATGGATGCAAAAGGAAGAAAAATTCTGCGACGTGACTCTGAAAATTGGCAAAGAGCGAAAGCTTCGTGCCCATCGCGTCGTATTGGCGTTGTCCAGCCGCTACTTTGAAGCACTTCTTGGGACGAACTGGGAAGAAAGCAGATCAGAAGAAGTGGAACTTCTTGGATTTGATGAAAGTGCCGTCACGAACTTAGTGAGGTTTGCATATTCGGGAAGCATTGAAATCACGAAAGACAATGTGCAATTCTTGCTCGAGGCCTCCAATTATCTCGGAATAGAATTTGTACAAAAAGCATGCACAGGCTTCATCTTGGACGAACATCTTGATGCGGATTCATGTTTGGGCGCACTGCAGATTGCAGACATGTTTGCCTTGGAGCCGTTGAGAGAAGAAGCGAAGCGATACGCTCTGCGACACTTCACAGAGGTTTCCATGAAGCAGGATTTTGTAAATCTACCATTTCAATTATTATCAGAGCTTCTTAGAAGCGAATCTCTTCGCGTTGTGGTCGACGGTTTAATTCCTAGCGTGGAGGAAAGGGAACGCGTTGTTTTACAAGCGGTGTTTTGTTACGTAAAACACGATCTTGAAAAGCGTGCAAATTACTTACCACAGCTTTTATCCCTTGTTAGACTTCCGACTCTATCAAGACAACATCTTAAAGAAATCGCCAAAGACAATCTTATAGCAAGCTGTGGATGCAGAAACATGTTTGACAATGCACTTCGAATGAAAAGAAATGCGGAATCCGGGACTGATTCGGGTAGCGCGAACTCAAGTTGGGCCAGGAGCAGAGATTTTGCTAAATGTGTGGTTACTTGGGGGCCATCCTTTGCCAGCAATCAACAGAGCCTTTGTGAGACATCGGTTTTCACTGAGAAAAACGATCTCGAAGATGCCGATTCGAGTGAGGGTGTCTACATCAACGGAATAACAGTATGGGCACAGCATTTGGATATCGATGGCAAGCAATTTGTGAGCGGATTAGAAGTCTTTTACAGCAATAATAAGAAGAACATGTATGGTGTTAAAACGGCGCTGAAACAAAATGAAATTCGTCTTAAAGAGAGTGAAAGGCTTGTTAAAGTCGTAGTTCAAGCTAGCACAGTGGTAAATGCACTTACATTTTACACCAACAAGCGAAACATTGATCGCAATATGAAAATATTTCGTGGATCCGACGGAATTCCTATACGGACTGATCGGCCAATCGGTTGGCATGGGTTCCTAGTTGGAGTTGGCGGCGCTATTGTTGACTTTCACGGGCACTCGGCAATCGCTCGGCTTCAGTTTGCATGGAGAACGTTTTTTCTCAATGATGAAATGCCAATGTTTGAACACCTAATAGGTAAATGCGAAATTTGTGACAAAGGCAGTGAATGCGACGGAAATGACAAAGGTAATGATGATGATGACGACGACGGCGACGAAGACAACCACGATGATGATAACGACGACGACAACGAAGAAGACGACGACGACTTTCGTGATGATGATGATGATGATGATAATGATGATGACGAGGAGGAGGAAGAGGAGGACGAGGAGGAGGAGAATCAGGAGCACGAGGAGGACTACGAAGAGGAAGACGAGTAATATGAAAGCCGGATATAGTGATGACTGAGTGTGTATTAGTCCATAATCACCAATGATGGCTATATATTATGTTAATGGTGATAGTGACAATGGCAATGACAATGGTGACCCTTTCTTTTGGCAGAAATGAAATATGACAATGATGTAGACATCAGAAATGTAGGTGCAGAATCGAACCCAGTAGTCTTGCAGTCACGCGATGTGATTTCCATTCAGAGAGAAACTTGTTGATTTATTCCATCTTTCAGCAACTTTTGAAATTAAAAATGTAAGTAGACGAGTATACGAAACGTCAAGTTCAGTATTAAAATGCGTTGGAATACAATGTTTATCACCGCCGTTATTGGTGTTATATTCTCAATCAAGCTTCGATGGTCTAAGAATAGGAGTTTAACAACCACAAGAAGTTTATTAAGACACGGTTATATGTCAGTGTTCAAGGTCGATGCCATCGTCGTCCCAGGGTCTCCTCCACTGTGGAAAGTAGAGGAAACCCTGGGGACGAAGTTGATGTCGTTTCTAGTGGGGTGTGATGGGAGGCGACAATTTTTAAGGTAGGGTTATAGCATTTATTCATTGTACTGCAATATCTAGGGGGAGGGGGGAGGGGGGCTCCCATATGAAAAGCTCGGGGATGCTCGTTAGAAATTGGAATTAAACCGCTCAAAGTTAAGAGACCAACATGGGCGTCTCTCGAGCTTTATAAGACCCCTAAAAGATACCACTTTAAAACGGACAGACAGCATTTTTTTAAATTTGTAATTCGTTTCTCTAGCTCAAACCAAACAGGTACCTTGACGGCTGAAATAAATAGCAGCATTTTGTCCAGAAGACTCTGAGTGAGAGTGACGAGTATCCCCGACCTTTTCACATGGTAGTCACCGCCCCCCCCCCNGTCAACATAGCCCACAACTACCTCTCCAAATTCATTAAAGGTCAGGCCAATCTTTTGTAGCAATTCTTGGCGTGTGCCATTCAGATTATTAAATTTTTTTTCTTTACTGAGTTGGAGAGCGTTTGATCGAATGGTCGACCAAACTAGTGCTGTGGCCGACAAAAGCAAGCTAGAGATCGATGGAATACAGTACCTTTAATACTGTATAGAAAGTACACTATTAGAAACAAATTGAAGTAAAACACCAAGTGATTTTCAAGCTTACAATGCAGTGCAGCCAGCGCTGCATGTTGTGCAATTCAAGTACTCAAATCGCTTCCATCCAAGTGTAGAATTGGAAAGATTCACCGTCGAAAGAGACTTCCCAACTGTCCAAATCAACACTTCTCATATTTACAGCACAATTCCGAGTTCCAAGTGCAGTATAAGACAAGACAAAATAATTCTGAAAAGCAACGCTCGCTCTGGCAGTGACCGCCATCATTCAGATGCAAACTCACGACTACCCACGGGCTGCCTTATGGGATACGGCAATAAAATTTTCTCTCCAGTCTTGCACAATGACGTCACCAGATCACCTGGAAGGAAAGGGTGTAATATCGTAATATCATAATATTAAGGCTAAACTTTAATGTACAATACATTTTTAATAGATATCATAACAGAGCTCCAGCGGTCCAAAGGGCCGCCAAGCAGAGTCCCATACTCATAGAAACCCGTGAATCACCTTGCTTATGGTAAAAATGGCTAGTAGTATTGTTCGTGGGCGTGTATGCACAACGACGGGGACGACGGCAACAGAGTCGTGCAAGATGGTGGCCATAGTCCAGCTAATAGGCTGACAGCCTTGGTTTATAGCACCCTTCTTTGATCATGGACATCCATGTTATGGTCAATTGATACCTGTAAAACAAGGTGTCTGCTGACCAGTATCACGTGACCATATTGTGGGTCAAGTTAAAAACTCATTGAGGTCACATTTCTTTTAATTGACCGCTGAACAAGTGCTGGTTTTCGATTGGATCGCGGGCTCATGTCAAGTTAATTTGTTGCAATTAGGGCTAGGTTATACAGAAGCCGGTTAATGCTAACCCATGATTAAAGGTCAACCGAAGTATATTTTATCTTGTATACAAATGTTTTTCACTGCCTTTGGTTTGTGTAGTTTCAGATTATTCAAACTTGAAACAGAACGCCAAACAATTAACGTACAGGATACATCACTGCAAAGTTACAAAACTCTAATCAAAATTCTCGCTTATCCTGGGTTAGCTTAATCGGGCTTTGAACAACCCAGCCCAGGAGCTCCACTTTTAGGCTTGGCTAAATCTATATATTATACCTGTTGGACTTTTAGACTACAAGTTCTTGGAGGATGTGGATAGATTTGTATACACCTCAGTGCATGATATTCATAGCAAAAACAGACGTCAGAACTCTCAGGTACGTTTAAGGTTTACTACGTCTTGTGTGCTTACTGGAACAATTGTACACCCATACAAAAATTTATGGCCTGACTGAGCAAGGTCATGATTTGGGCCATAATGCTATTTTTGGACAAAAACTGAGCAAGACAAAGTGACACAAGGATTTTGTCTGTCTTGTAGGACTGGACGATGCATTTGTCAGGCATGGTCATTGCTGATAATATGGCAATAACTAGCGTGATAGAGTACAAACTGAATTTATTGGCTTGCGCAGCAGTACCGAGACATTTGTCAGGCTGTGTTATCGTTGTAATTCTGGCTAAATTCGTTTTACAAGTACCGGTACAGAAAATTCGATGTGACGTTTATCAGACCTTGTTGTCGGCCATAATCTTGCTTATCAGTGTGATACCTCGTACCATAAAAGTATGCTAAATGCAAAACTAAAATATAACAGGATTGTTCTTTTGCATCAAAATATTCATTTCAAGTAGCTTATTCTCTCCCAGCTTGCATTTTTGTGTAGTTTTCAGCTTTCGTTAGAGGCCTCACAGAGGCCTCACAGTGTTCACATTGCATGCGACGAAAAACTCAAAGATATGCCATGCTACACCACAAGTCTGTGTCTGCTCCTACGTACTGCAGAACAATGTGCCTCAAATTTCCTATAATGTGCTCCAAAGAACTCCTTGGCATTTTAGTTTAGGTAGTTTCCACTCCAAAAATATTTACCAGTAGACTGTTTTGGGTGCTGTAAACGTGGATGCTGATGGCAGATGGCAGACAGCGAACAATTAGAAAATGATATTAAAATTTAATAATAAAATAATAAAAAATGACATCACAGTAGTCAAAATATCTTCAGCTCGTTGGAAAATGTTAGGAAAGTTTTGAAAATTGCAAAAATGTTCATATTCTTGAGCAAGTTTGTCACTAAAGATATTGACCTGAAGACTTCAATAATTTCTAGTCCTTGTTTCCTTCCTGTATCTTTTTTTATTTCGTGAAAGTGAAGATGCTGGATACTGGACTGGTATCTCCAGAACAAATTTAAACTTGAACAAACAATATCCCTACTATCTTATAATGTCGTATCAGTCTCTATTTTGTGAACATTACAAACTAACTGCATCCTAACAAAAGAGGGACTTGGCAGTCTCAAAACAATCTGACAACATTGAAAATAAAAACAATGAAGACCACAATATGGAGCTGGAGGAACACTCGGAACAAGAACTCCCAAATTCAGAGCCAGAAGACAACGTTTTGCTTGAACTGAATACCACACATCATATCATATACCTGCATATACAACAAGCAAAACAGTCAACAGACTTGTGCATGAACATCTATATTTGCAGTGCCAGAATGAACAAACTGGAGATATAAACCTAAACATCAAGCTCAAGAGACTAAAAGCCCGATAAAATTGATGCAAGAAACGTAAGAACATCTCTCTAAGACAAACTTACAGCTTTCAAAAAGGAAAGCAACAGCTATTGCTGACAAAGCCGGACAAAGATAAATACATGTTAAAAATGACACCCGTGATGAGAAGCAGCACAGAACTTGTGTCAGATCAGACAGCCGGACCTGGCATAACAACACAAAATGCAAGTAACCAACATGTTCACGGAACATTTAAGACTTTGTCCCTTCAGAGCTTCTATTTAGGGAGCTTAAAACATATCGTAAAATTAATGAGCCTAGAAAACCTAGCACATGGCAAATTATTTACAGGGGTGTCAAACTCTACAAATTACATGCAGACAACAGCAGAAACCATGCGGACTTATGACCTCTAAATAGTCTCCTCTGCAGCCGTTTTTGGGGTTGTCACGTAACGCTTCCTGTACTCTGGTAAAATGTCCTCCTAATAACACAGCATAAGGTGCCCTTCAGAAACAAGTGTGAGGAAGGAAAAAAAGGTCACGATACTGAAATAGGAAAACAAAACAATGTATGTACAAATGTCACAAAGCATGAGAGTCCGTCATGAGCCTGTCATCCTCATTTTCATGAAACAATAGCATTTAATCCAAAATCAACCAATCATACCTTACAAAAGGGGCCGATATCCTTTAGAGATATACTCATTTGAACAAGCCTTTGAAAGCAGCTATTAAACGTGGATAGGAGTCATGTAGGCCTGTCACCGCATTGTTATCCCCTCTTAAGACATAGGCACAAACTTCAACGCAAATGAATTTTGCACACCGAAAAAACAGATCTTCTGTTCACAGGAGTTAAAAGTGAACTTTGAGCTAGTAACACTTGACAGGAAGAGGTGACAACATGTTGATTGGTTTACCAATTTTACTGAAAAAAGACGAAGTGCTGTGTTGGAGGTTTGATGTTTTACAGGTTCTCTGCTAACTGATCAACCGTTTGAGTTTCTGAGTAAAATGTTGTCAGTTGATGAAAATTATCAAAACGTTGTCCTCAGGTCAATATCTTTAGTGATAAACTCATATATAAGCTAAAGAATAGGAACATTTTTGCAATTTTCAAAACTTTCTGAACATGTTGCAGCGAGTTTAATTATTATGTTTTGCGTTTGAGAGAAGGCAGTTCTAATTGGATAATGCAGAAAAATTTGAGTTTTTGGGTTTGTTTCTTTCTTTGCACAGCAATTTGGTCCCCCCAAAAAATTCTTCAGGGGCGAATGACATCATCTCCATGTTCATCCATGTGCTTTCTTTCGAGTGTTGTGCAATATTGCGGACTTTCAAGTGTTGAGGCAGCTTATTGTGTAGTGTAGTGGATAAATTGTTTAGTTAAACTTCAAAGTCAATGTTAATGGCATTTAAAAACCTTGCAGACATGTCTTCACGAAATGTGTACTAAAACCAATGCTGCTTTCTGCTGAATAAATCAAAGGAAGAAATGTGTAGTTTTACTTGGCTGGCCTAGTCCACTGCCCCTGACCGCTTGTACACAGGTGGCTGACAGTATGGCCGCAGGCCTTTTTACAAACACTTCACAAACAGTTCTTCCTAACACTTATTAATTAGTGGTTTTCATATAGTTTAATTTTATTATTCTTTTATTTTAATTTCAACATTTCTACAATTACGACGTGTTTCGGCCAATTTGTTTAAATAATTTTGGGGACAACTACTTGAGCTTGTAATTAATAAAGATTGTTTCAGCCCACACATGTCTTATCTGAGTCACTCACAACATTGCATGAATAACGGTCGATAATTTTGAGTTTTGATTACAATCGAATAGGTTAATTATTGACTATGATCTCATTGCTTAACTCTGCGTCTCATGTTCATGTCTCCTTGTGCTCAGTTAGTCTCTTGTTCTAGTTGCGTGCGATCCCAATGTTAAGTTTTGGTTCCCTCCCTCCCTCCCTGGGGGACAACTACTTGAGTTTGTAATTAATAAAGATTGTTTCAGCCCAAACTATCTTATCTGAGTCACTCACAATATTGCGTGAATTAAGGTTGATAATTTGGAGGTTTGATTACAATCAAAATTGCCACAAGTAGATCAGCACACCGTAAATTTTGATTAATTGCTGCATATAAATTATAAATGGCTACCAAGTAGAACCCTACTTCAATTGGTTGAGACTTGTATTTTGTTTTTTGTTAATTTCAGTTAATTACAGCACATGCGACCAAATCAAAGAGTAACTATTCAAAGTTTCCATTTTGATTTAACCAAACCCTTAAATTGCAGACAAAAAAAACTAAATAATATAAATTAGTCATATTTACTGTTGTTGCGATGTTTGGTAGTTGTATGTAGTCATATGCAGAGGGTAATGATTGCCGTTGTATATAGCAGAACTATAAAGAGTTATTGATTTTCATGCCAGGTACTCAAGTGTTTATTGGCCGTCACATTCATCTGGTCTCGCTCATAAGCGTGACTATTTTATGGCCAGAATTTCACTGGTTTCTTGCTTAGATGTGTGTCCAAATCTCAGGGCAGTTCAAATGTCTCGCTCCTTTCTCGTTTATTTATCGTTCAAGTTTCATCGCTCTTGTCAGCTTGATTATCGTCACATTCTGTCTCGATCACTAGCATCATACAGTGTATTTTATGGCCAGAATCTTGACCACGTCACGCTCAGAATTTTCGTACGGGCAACAATGCTGATAACAATTAGGCAACCTTTTTTGAGTGACAAAGCAGTCAGGCAGAAGAAATCACTGCATGCATCTCAAAATAAACTGCACCTGGAAAGTAAGTAAAAGCAACCAGTAAATGCCAAATATAAATATGAAAGGAAAAAAGACTGCATTTGGTTACTTCTCCTGGCCTCTTAAAGCAGGCGTCACCTGTGGGCTCAACTGGGTCTATCATCCCATCTAAGGAGAGTGGCTAATTTCAGGGAGGAAATTGGAGGATCCTATAAAGTAGCACATTGCATGACAGCAAATAATATTACATTCTTCTGTTTGGGTGCTACCTTTGCATTGAAATTCTTGAATCTTTCTTCATCTTTGACATCATGGACATATTAGCCCACAGTTTGCTTACCAAAAAAACTTCGAAATGCTCTCAGAATATTCTATGTGAAACTTGTGATTATGTCTTAGCAAACTGTGATGGGTAAAAACAAAAATGATCAGATATAATGACAACATGGAAAAGCACATTTCATCTGGAGAAAGTCATTGACCAAGAAACCAAGTTACCACTTCCATTCAGGTATTACATGTGGCATCATCATACACCTACATGCTTGATTTCCACTGCTCTCTCAACATTTTCGTGCAAATGCCTTAAATTGATGATCATGTACATGTATCATGCAAAGCTTGATACTCACTTAGATCATGGTTTCTCATGAAATTTTCTAGAATTTCAACCCAGGCTGTAAAGAGAACTTGGGCATGCATAGTGACTGTGTCTTCAATCAAACAAGAGCGTGGAGAAAAGGTTTCAGCACAGGTTAAAATGTAACCAGAACAAAATTCTTGCCACTTTGCTTGGCTGAAATTCTTCAGAGAAGTTAAAAAGTTTTGTTGAAAATCAAAGCAAATATTTTTTTCCACGAAAATTTGAGTTTCAGTCTTGGTAAGTTTTACTCTCCAGTGCGGAAATTTGTTGACAACAGGCATAAACAGTTATGAAGTTACATCTGTTCATCGAGCTTCTGTTCTTTTCATGCCATAACAAAATTATGCTTAAGGCCTCCATAGTATTCCTCCAGCTGGTCTGTTCCTGTACTACATGTACTGCTTGGGCCTAACTCCATGACAGAGACATGAGCCTGGCTGTTTTGCTTCAGTCCTTCTTATTTTCGGTGATCCCAGCTTCCTTTTTCTATCTGGTATCCACAACACTGCTTATTTTGTGATACTACCCTTATCCTTGCTCAATATAATGCTGAGGCATCACCATTTCGTCTTTGTAATTCAATCGTGATGTCATCTGTTCACACATTTTCCTGACTTTGGTGATCATCCTTGGTCATTTTCCATCATATTTCTGATCAATACATCCCACTTTCCCTCACTCCTTAGATGCTGGTCTTGTATTGCACCATTTCCCTGGCCACCTGCACTATTCTTCCTGCCTCATGCACAGTTAGCACTAACATTCCATTAGCCAAATCTGGTGATGGAATTTGGGCCCAGAAAGGAAGGGAGCTTACAAACTTCTTGCAGTTGTGCTATCCAAGCATCATGTCTTCCATCATAGAGCAGTTTCCTCTCTGTAAGCTGTCACCATTCCGTTCCATTCCATTCAAAAGCTTTTACTGGCAGGGCGACCAGAGCCAAGGCTACTAACCAACTTGTTACGTGTAAGGGTTGCTCTGAGCCTTCACAACTACATGTACTGTTCTCTACTGTTTCCCACCTCCCACTAATATGCAGCACATTAATAAAATTATTGTCTTTAAACTTTTTATCTTCTGATTTGCTCAGTCTAATACCCCCTCTTTCTCTGATTTAATTGGTTTACCTGGACAAGAAATCCACAATCTACAACTATTTTCATTACAGTCGAACCTCTATTATCCNTGTAGTCAAAGTCAAATGCGTGACGATGTAGTCAAAGTGAAATGCGTGATGATGTAGTCAAAGTCAAATGCGTGACGATGTAGTCAAAGTCAAATGTGTGACGATGTAGTCAAAGTCAAATGCGTGACGATGTAGCCAGAGTCAAATCCATGCAGCGACGATGTAGTCAAATCCGCGACAATTTATAGTAATAATATAATTTTATATAAAGACTTACACACTTACTGAAATCCGTGACGACTTGATAGTAATGATCTGCAGCAGTACGTTAACCTACAGATCATTTCTCACAGTCTAGGTTTCAGACCTCTAATAATTACGATATATAGCTTTTTAAAAATTGTAACGGTCACTTTTAAAAATGTGTGTAGACTAGCATATATAACGTCAAGTTCTGTATTGAAATGCGTTGGAATACAATGTTTATCACCGCTGTTTGCGTTATATTCTTAATCAAGCTACGATGGCCTAAAAACAAGAGTTAATACGACACAGTTCTAGGATTATTCTGATAATCTCAGGAAATAATTTGACTCTTACAGCTAATAACAAGAGATTATTGACTAAGTGGTAGGGCCGGTTTGTATGCCAGCCTGTTCCGGCCCCCCGGGTAACTCCTATATAAAAAGGACGGGGGGTGCTCGTCGTACCTTTCAGGGGTTAGAAAGCGGTTTTGGTACTTCTAATGGTGTTCTGCCTCAAAAGGTCCACGGCGGGAGCTTTTTGCGGCACAGTCGAACCTCGATTATCCGTACCTCGATTATCCGGATTTCTCGATTATCCGGACTTTTTCTCTAGTCCCAATTTTGTCATGAATATTTATTAGTCACGATCAAGATCCGTAACAATATTCTTTTTAATACTATAGCATTGAAAAGTGCAGTCAAAAGCGAGGGGTTTTTTGCTTTTAAAAAGCAACGATCGCACGCATCGTAACTAATGAGGCTGAATGCTCGAATGAGTTCTGATTGATTCAGAGTAGAGTGGTTCAAGATGCACAGTAGACCATATTGTTTCCAAACGATTTGTAAAAGTGTTGTTTCACGGTTAAATCTATGTTGCTTTATTTAGACAGGTTTGTTCTTCATTAATATTCATATTTTCGATTATCCGGAC